CCCCACAAGGATAGTAATACTAGTACATTTTGACCTTGTGGGGACATTTTTGAGGTCCCCATGAGGAAACAAGCTTATAAATCATACAGAATGAGTTTTTTTGAGAAAGTAAAAATGCACACAGTTTCCTGTGAGGGGTAGGTTTAGGGGTAGGGTTGGTGTAGGGCAATAGCACATACAGTTTGTACAGTATAAAAACCATTACGCCTATGGAATGTCCCCATAAAACATGGAAACACAACATGTGTGTGTGAGTGTGTCTCTGTGTTTGTGAGTGTGTGTGCACGTGTCTCTGTGTGTGAGTGTGTGTGTGTGTGCGTCTCTGTGTGAGTGTGTGTGCGTGTCTGTGTGTGAGAGTGTGTGAGTGTGTGCACGTGTCTCTGTGTGTGAGAGTGTGTGTGTGTGCGTCTCTGTGTGTGTGTGAGTGTGTGTGCGCGTGTCTCTGTGTGTGAGAGTGTGTGTGTGTGCGTCTCTGTGTGAGTGTGTGTGTGTGTGTGCGCGTCTCTGTGTTTGTGTGAGTGTGTGTGCACGTGTCTCTCTGTGTGAGAGTGTGTGTGTGTGCGTGTCTCTCTGTGCGTGTCTGTGTGTGAGTGTGCACGTGTCTCTGTGTGTGAGAGTGTGTGTGTGTGCGTCTCTGTGTGAGTGTGTGTGTGTGTGTGCGCGTCTCTGTGTGTGTGTGAGTGTGTGTGCGCGTGTCTCTGTGTGTGAGAGTGTGTGTGTGTGCGTCTCTGTGTGAGTGTGTGTGTGTGTGTGCGCGTCTCTGTGTTTGTGTGAGTGTGTGTGCACGTGTCTCTCTGTGTGAGAGTGTGTGTGTGTGCGTGTCTCTCTGTGCGTGTCTCTGTGTGTGAGAGAGTGTATGTGAGTGTGTTGGTGTCTGTTTGTGTGAGTGTGTGTGCACGTGTCTCTGTGTGAGAGAGTGTATGTGAGTGTGTTGGTGTTTGTGTGAGTGTGTGTACACTCATGTATGCTGGTGCTGCACTCTTCTTCTGCTGAGGGTCTGAATGGCGTGTCGTCCCTCTCTGATGACATCATCACTCCTCCTCCGCTCTGCAGTGAGCTCTGAGTGGAATACTGAGCAGCTCTGTGTCGCCCCCGTGTGGCCAATCCCACAATCCCTCACGTTTATTTCTACAGAGCTTTTCTCCATTCAAATCCTTGCAAAGCAGCTTCACAGAAAATGAAAGTTTCTACATTATATTTAGTAATAGATTATCAGTGGTGATCTCAAGGTGATGTCCATATGAAATGTAGAGTAAAAATCACGCAGTTAGTTAATGATGCATTCAAACAAACGGTGAACACTAATAACAGCAATGATTATATGCTGTGGTCAAACTTATACTCATGTCCTCTCCTTGTGTCTGAGTGTGCGGTTAATGCATATGTGCATACGTTATTATTATTATTTTTTAATTATTTTAAATAACCATGCATTTAATATACAAATATAACACTACTATTAGACTGAATATTAAACGTTAGATTTATTTCTATGCCTCTTTATTTGTCATTGACCTGCAGCTGAACCTCTCAACACGCACACTTCAGTCTGTGTATTTCAATTTAATTATTATTTTATTATTAATATTTAGGGGTTATTATTATTATTATTTTATTGTATTATTATTATTATTTATTTGAAGGTTTTAAGGGCTGAGCTCATTAAACTGATACCTCTATGATTTTAATTTTTAACTGGATTCTGTTAAACTGATGTTTGTCTGTATTCGTCCGCTTCATGAGGTGCATCCTGGGCTGCTTTTAAACGAATGGAGCAGGAGCTGATGCTGCTTTACTGCACTGCTCCAGCAAACAGTCTGCTGATGTATACATTTAAATTGACATGGGTCTACAAAACTCTATCCTAATATATATATACATATATACACATACACATATTAAACAGATGTTGAAGGTGTGTGTGTGTGTGTGTGTAGTTGTTGAGTGTGTGAGCTGTTCTGCATGTGTGCAGAAGCACCGTTACCATGACGAGGAGACGCCGCCGCTGCAGCACAGTCCAGCTCACCTGAACACAGGACAGTCTGCAGAGATGCAGCTCAGCGACGCTGGACACGCCCCCATCGACGGTATCCACGGTTACACACCCCAGATGCACGTGTCACCCGCCAAGGTAAGAGTACTTTTAAAACAGCATTTTGATAAATGTATGCACTATATTAAATATTCTTTATATTTTTGCATCATTATTTAATGCATGTTTGAATAAATCTGTCATGAAAACTAGTTTGTTTGGTGTGTTCCACTCGTCGGCGCGAGTGAGAGCTCTGATCTGATGCTCAGTTTAGCGAGCGAAAAGAAAGAGATGAAAACAAGCACGTAAATGAAGGCGGTACAGACAGAAGGCTGTTTACATGTTAGAGGGAATAAAAAAGAAAAACATCTGCAATTCCATTGTTTAGCTTCTAGATTCCTATATAGATCAAAAATAAATCTCTAGTTGTTTTTAGACATAAATACTTATTTTTATTAAGTTGTGGATTTGGATTGATATTTAGACATTCTCAACGACAACTTTTTGTAAAGGTTTAGATTTTTTTGTTTTAAATGTTGATTTGAAATGTCAGTTTTTGCATTAATTTTACTAGAGTCAACCCTGAAAACAGAGAAAGACATTTTAGTACACATACATCAGAGTTCAGCAAAAATCTCACACACACACACACACACACACACACACTCACACACACACACACTCACACACACACTCACACACACAACACACTTTTATACACACAAATGAACTGGTGTGGCTGTTGCAATATGGCTAACTTGAGCCAAAAGACTCAAATAAGAGATTGATTGATTGATTAACCTCTGATAAAGCATTTCTGTTCATTTCTGTGAGATTTTTGCTGAACTCTGATGTATGTGTACTAAAATGTCTTTCTCTGTTTTCAGCGTTGACTCTAGTAAAATTAATGCAAAAACTGACATTTCAAATCAACATTTAAAACAAAAAAATCTAAACCTTTACAAAAAGTTGTCTTTGAGAATGTCTAAATATAAATCCAAATCCACAACTTAATATAAATAAGTATTTATGTCTAAAAACAACTAGAGATTTATTTTTGATCTATATAGGAATCTAGAAGCTAAACAATGGAATTGCAGATGTTTTTCTTTTTTATTCCCTCTAACATGTAAACAGCCTTCTGTCTGTACCGCCTTCATTTACGTGCTTGTTTTCATCTCTTTCTTTTCGCTCGCTAAACTGAGCACTGATATTTTTTAAATATAGATCTATATAGGAATCTAGAAGCTAAACAATGGAATTGCAAATGTTTTTCTTTTTTATTCCCACTAACCTGCCTTCAAAAATTGGATTTTAAAGGCATTGTCTCTATTTTAACATTAATTACTGCCATAATTGAAAAGTAATGTAAAAATATTAATTAGTACCATAAAATTCTCTCAAAATATAAAAATAAAAAATATATTACATTGATTTTACTAAAAAATAAAAAATAAGTTACATTTCAGGTGTTCGGTCACTTTTGACCCAGAAATGAACACCAGAGGGCTAGCTTCACTTTAAATTCTGCTGTGTTTTAGTGTATATTAAATGATGTTTCTTATTGTTATACTTATTTAATTCCTAACTAAACCACTAACTATCCATCTGCTTTAGTCACGTGACTGAGTTATAGCTCTAGCTAGCCGCTCACTGCTGTAACTAGCCTCTGGGTTGTGTGTGTTTCAGCCGGTGTTGCTCCCCAGCGGTCACACACACTACTACGCCACATCTACCCTAGTAAGTGTTCCTCAAACACACACTCATACTAGAGCATGTTCTGCTGATTCAGTGGCCTGCTTCTGATTGGCTGTGATGTCATTTCCTGTAGATGCGTCCCAGTACACACACTTGCAGTGTTTGCACTTGATCACTTGTCTACTTACATGACGTATTTCTAGTGGACGTCAAGTGTGTGTAAAACGTTTAATTACTCATTTGACATACTACAACATAGTTCCTCTGTGTCGTTATCGTTACATTTGTGATGTGGACTCTGCTATTTTTTTTAATTTAGAATGATATCTTTATTGTTATAATCCTGCTCTGAAGTGTGGATGTACTGTGCGTTAAGGGCACGGAGCTAGTCAACAGCTCGAGTTGTGTGTATTGGGACAGAGCCAGAGTTTGTGCGCTTCGTCGCTTTAAATCTGTGACAGACGTTCTGATTTGAGATGGCCCCGCCTCCAAGAGTCAGATTCACCCTCTGATTGGCTACTTTACATGTCCATCAGATGTGACTTTATGCTGGTGGTCAGATGAGTCATGGGCGGAGCTCCAGGTGCTCTCCCTCTGCTGCACTCACACTAGCACACAAATCACCATGGAGACGGCAGGGATGCTGGTCTCCATAGCAACAGGAACACTTCATCAGAGAGAGAGAGTAATGTGGTGAATAATAAGCCTGTACTGAAGGTTTAGTGTTTGAGCCTGAACTCTACAGAAAGTTCAACACCTCAAGCTCACAGCACTGTTCCCTCCGCAGACTGTCATCTTGTTCATTTCTCCGGTCGCGCTGTAATGATTATTTGTAAGACAGGTTTTGACTCTTTTTTTTTTATTTGCAGTTTTCAGGTGTTTCTGTCAGGCAGTAGACACATTTTATGTGTAGCATCTAAAAAAAAAAATCACTGTTTCTATTGTTTAATCGACATTAGCGATTCCCGAGTTGATATTTATCAAAAGATACCGTTAACTGATGACGGTTAATGGTCACGTGACATGCAGATAAACAAATACAATTTCATCTTTTTAGTAAGTGTTATTTAGATTTTTTTATATTTTAAAATTATTTATTTTAATTTTAAATGATAATTTAATGAATTTTTTAGCTTTTCATCCCGTTTAACATCTACATTATTGTTATTGGCGCCTTTTTCTGTCAGAGACTATCCTGTGAGAGAGCGCGCGCGGGAGTGTGTGTGCTAGTGATGGGAAGTTCGGATCATTTTACCGACTCGGACCTTTG